TCCACCTCCAGCATCCTCACACGCAATATAGCCTACTAGCCGAGACTCCTTTATGTGTACAGATGTGACGTAATAACGCAAAGACATGCTCGAATCTCCCGCAGAAATCCACCAGTACCAATGGAGTTAGCTTTTTTGAAATGATAAACGATCGTTAGATTTAATCAGCGCGATTTACTGCAATGCTTTTTTTCAGTTAGTTGGTCAGAAGAACAAAAGTGGATGTTACTTACTTGTTCAAATTACATTTTAGGGGTCATACTTCCAAAAAGTAGAATCTGTGATTCCAAATGCCAGTATCCACACCGGCACGGTGACTGACAGCCGCACATTCTCCTCAAAACATTGGATTCATCCATGCTGTGCCGTGCCGAGGCACAACCCACGTAAAGTTGATAATTCCGCGAATAACTGCAATTGCAGATTTTGAACAGAGATGGCGATAAAGAGGAAAAACTGCGGACTGCAGCTTTAAAATAATATTTAAAATATTTAATAATACATTTTATGTTTTCGTGGTGAAGCAATGCTTATTTATTTATTATTGTAATAAATTATATTAGCTCGATTACAAATATTCTGCATATTTGTTATATCTGTTATTGGAAACAAACATTAAACAATTTTTTTTTAAACATCAGTACTGATTGGAAAAAAATTATTTTACTCAATCTCTACTAAATTGTGAATAACAATTTGTTGTTTCATAAATGCTTTTCTTAATGTGTGTTTGTGTTATTTTTTTCCCACTTGGTTTGATATTTTGAGGCATTTATACAGTTTAGGTGTGGCTAAAGTCCTCAGTTACTTTTGGGGTCTGCTTTAGTTCTGGGTAATATTAAATATATGTTATGCAGGTTAAGAAATATGCATTTTGTGGTCTCAAAAGATTTATTGTTCTGCTCTGTTCAAAGAAAGGCAGTGAGTACTTATTTCCTACCTGAGAACATGCTCTGTTTGAGCTGGCATGCCCGTGCGCGGGTTCATGTGTCTTAGCTCTGTTTTCCACATGGTGTCCTTGTAACCAGCCATCTCCTTGAGTAGCAGCTTCTTCCAGTATCCCGCAGGTTTCTCTTCCACACTTGTGCTGCTCACGGCTTCTGTCATCACGGTTCCTCTGGGCCTCCACTTTTTCTTCTCAAGCTGAGAAGCATACAACACAGACCACAGAGCACTGGACATCTATGTTAATATATATTATTCCTTATTCGAATTCTTTATCATGAACTCACTTGCTGTTAGCCAGATCATGAAACCGCTTGTTGATAAAGCTGATATTCAACAGAGAGGAGGCATCCAGAAAAGAACAAATCTTCAGGATTATCTCAGAAGGCAACCTGGACAGACAAGGAATAGTGCAGCTTTTTGTATGATGAAAGACTGGCATGCAATAAAAACTGCAACAAAATAAAATGCAATAAAAACATGGCATGCAATAAAATACATATTAAACTTATAGGCCTGATTTCACAGACAAGGCTTAGATTAAGCCAGGAATTGGCCTTAGTTTAATTAGGACATTTGAGAGTAGTTTTTTAAATGTGCACTAGAAACAATGTCAGAGACAAATTTTAAGATATGTCAGTGCAATTTACTTTGAGTTAGGGGACCTATTATAATAAATTCACTTTTACATGGTGTTTGAACATAAATGTGTCGGCAGTGTGTGTACACAGCCACCCAATAATGGTAAAAATCCACCCACTCCTCTTTTTTGAATCCCCATAAATCATAAGCAGTGTCTCAGAACAAGCCATTTGCAGATTGTAGCTTTTGTGATGTCACAAATGCTTAGGCCTCTCCCACAACTGCTGAGTGAGCTGTACACAGTCCTCCATGTTTATCTCCTTGATAGAGCATTTAACAGCAGCATTCGAGTAAGACATTTATTTTTATTAAAGCTACTAAAGTTATTTATTTGATTTTCTGTTTTTCTTTTGTTTAATTCATTTTAACAGCATATGTTACACTGTTTGCACTTTAATACACATATCTAATATACACTTGTGATTTCTTTACTTGCTGTTTACATTCACATATTTTGTCATCAAATGTTGATGTGGACTTTGTGTGTTTTTGACATAACCTTGTGTGTATTTGACAATTTAAGTGCAATAACACGTGAAAGAGAACTAGTTTAAAAGACAACTCATGGGATGCGCCGCCTGACATCCGTGTGCTTCGGATGTGTGCGCTCAGAAAACCATAAATAAAGAAGTTTAAACTGATATGGCTTTAAAACGCATGCAGATAATAAAATTTCATGATGATCAATGTCGTGTGAGCTTGACCGTGATAGAGATGATAATTAAAACCAATTTCCAAACAGATGTTTTTGTTCGTTTTTGACAGATAGAGGCACATAGGCTCCGCCCTCTTCTGGAAAGAGGTGAGGAGCAGCAACTCATTTGCATTTTAAGCTATGAAAACAGCATGTTTTTCCTTCCACTCAAAAATGACAGACACTTTCTGGGGACACCTGAGATATTACATCTTGTAAAAAGGGGCATAAGGTCAAAGGGTCCCCTTTAAAAAAAAAAAAAACTCAAACACGCATTTTAATCTGGGACTGGGTTGTCTGTGAAACTGGGGGAATATGTATAAAATATTGATTAACTTGCCTCTCGATGTAATTTCCATGGCTGCCCCAACCGCACTGTTCAAATTCAGACAAAGTTTTACTTGGCTCTGGTTCCGTCGAGGAGGTGTTACGATCTCTCCGCCTATGCCAAATGGAAAATAAGCATTCAGTCTATAGTGAATGAGTAGCCCAAAACACAAGTTTATAAATAACTCAGCTGTCTACCTTCTTGCACCTTCAGGACGCGCAGTTTCCCCTTTCTGAGCCTCTCCGGGTGTAGTTTCTTCATCTTTCACGTGGCCTTGTCTTAAACGTCGGACAATATCACCAATACCAGTAGCCATGATGACTTCGAGGCGTTTGAACTCACTCACTCACCGATAACCCGACTGATAACTTAACACACTAGAGGGCAATATAATATATTGAAGAGATATCGCAGACAATGGTTTTTTTTCCAGTTAAAATGTAACTGATGATTTTAGAATTAAGTTAAAATTAAGATATTAAATTAAAATATGAAATGTAAGATCAAATTAAAATCAGTTTAACCCTTTCATGCATGAATTATGTTAACCTCAGGATTTTTTCCTTATGTGTTTTTATTGCTCTTAGGCCATGAAAAACAAGATTTAAAATGTTGTTTGTTTTACACATATTTTTTCAAAGAGATTTTCAAATTTCCACTTGAGTGGACATCATGCGTTTATGGTTTAAACTCAAGATATACCGTATTAAACACAGTAATAACACAGCAATATTGTGTGTATTTAACAAACCAATCAATAAAATTATATATCCTCCTGAAAGTGTTTTGTTTTTTCCATGTCATCACATTGTTTAGACTTTAGAGCATAAGAAACAAATGGTAAAAAAAAAAACATTTTTGAAAAATTATAGCCTATTTCATTAATATGTTATGCAATGTCCTCTGTAGTGGACACCAGGACTCAGTTGTTTAAAAAATAAAATGACATGAAATTATATGTATAGCAAAAACAATGGGATTTTTTTTTTCATTCACCAATCAAATTTCTATTTTATTTTTTGTATAAAGATGATTCTCAACTACAGTGCTGGTCAGAATTATTTGCCCCCTTGGTAAATATGATCAAAGATGGCTGTAAAAAATAAATCTAATGAGCAGCGCTACAAGTAACATGCATTATGTAATCATATTACTTTTTGATATAACAAGTAATTCATTACAAGTAACGTGCATTACATAATCAGTTTTTGATCTAACGAGTAAAGTAATGCATTAACGTGCATTACGTAATCAGATTACTTTTTGATGTAATGAGTAAAGTAATACAAGTCACATACATTGTGTAATCACATTACTTTTATGTCAATGCAAATTACATTCTAATAAAATATTTATTTACAGTCAAAAAAGTTACTGCAGATTAAGTATTTTCAAAAACAACAGTCACAGTAATAGTAGAATTACAGCTGAAATATAGCCATGATGCATGAGGTCCACTACAGATATGACTCATTACATTGCTCGATGTAACAACTTTTCTTTTTTTTTTTTTTTTTTTTTTTTTTTTTTTTTTTTCTTTTTTTTTTTTTTTACCTGCAAGAGTCTCCGAGGATAGAAGGAATGGGTGGATATCCGAAGCAACTTGGCATTTCTGACTGGCCATTGGCCATCTTGATTTGGAGGGGAAAAAATCCACACAACGGCTTGCCACTTAGTGACAATGTAGGCCTATAGGTCAGGATGATGCACCAGGGTCCACTGTGGAGGTTGATGTGCAACTATGCCATCAAAACCCATGCAAATGCAAGAAAAAGCTTTTTGTATAGCTGTCCACTGTGACATATGCATGAATGGTTAATGGTTTAAAATTGTGTATCTGTTATATTGGATTCTCACAGTTTGATATATTAATCTCCCTCATATGTATTAAATGACTGTGTTGCTTTGTGCTACATATATTTCCTTTCTATAAACAACACATAAACAGCTTTGTTTTCTTTTCTTTTATTTAAATATTTTCTTTTCACGAAGAAGCCTTTTAGGGCTTTGTCACCACCCCGTGTTTTAAAAGTAAAAATAAAAGTAGGCTAATAGTAAATTACAATTATTTTTAAATTAAAAGTACAAATTAAAGTAAATAAAATGTTTTTAATCTCGTTATGTGTATTTATACATTTTAGCTTGACAGCTCTGTTGGTAAGTCTTTTCATTCATTAATGCATTATTGTTTTTTTTACAATTTCAGATATTTGCAGACGAGCCTGTATCAAACTGTATTACTTTTATATAATATGTAAATATACAAGAATTTTTGTTGTGCTATGTGAAATGCGTAGTGAGGAAATGTTTTTTCCAGTCTTCGTACTTGATTCCGTAGCTTGATTCCGCGTCATCATCAGAACGCCTAATAACTACATCTCCCAGAGTTCTTAGTGTCTAATCAGGAAGTAGATACGCACTGTGATGGCAAACAGATAGTTGTTCACCAGCCGCAGCGAGTAATACATTTAGTGTCAATTATACAGTTAAAATTTTAGTTATTTGAAATTATTCAAGCGGAATGTCATGCCCATTTAATCACTCTGGTAGGACAACATGACGATTACATTTAAATGAATAGACGCCTGATTTTTGTCTTATTTCTAATGGCTTATTATTTCCGAGCTGTCGTCTGTAGATCAAACATCAAATTTGTTATCATTAAAATGAATCAAGCATTAAATAAACTGCAGGTGCATCAGAATGTGAACGTGTCCGTGAACATAATTTTATATCACGGATAAGCGCTCCTCGATCTGATTTAACCCACAGCCTGTGTTTCCGCAGCGGAGCTGAACCCCGCAGTGCTGCCGCTGGACTGGCTCCTGGGAACCTGGCAGTCCGATGAGCCAGGAGAGGGCTCCTTCCCCTCCATCGCACCTTTTCGTTACACAGAGACTCTTCATTTCTCACATGTGGGACAGCCCGTGGTCAATTTCATGTAAGTAACCAAATAAACCAGAGGTATTGTTATTGCAACTCACAATGCAGTGCAGACATTCAGAAAGTTGTGAACTTTTTCCTCAGGTTTAATGCATTCCATGCTGAGAGCAAAAGGCCTCTTCACAGGGAGTGTGGATTCATCAGGCTTCAGCCGGGCACCAACAGGGTGGCTTTCATCATTGCCCAGAACTCAGGTGTCTGATTCATAAAAACATTTATCAGATAGGTTCATCTATGGGCCTACATATATATTACGGCATATCTTTTCTTTTTCTTTTTTAATTTGCATCTGTTTAAACCTCTTTCAGGTCTTGTGGAGATTGAGGAGGGGGAACTCACTGGACAGCAGCTGACTCTACACAGTGCTGCCCTGGCTAGAACATCTTTTGCCAAGCAGCCTCATGTTCAACAGGTCTCACGAATCAAACTGATTGACTTGTGCCTTGTTAGATCAATGAAACAATAAACTCGAATGTAGCAATATTTTTATACAGAAAATGTGGCATGAATTGTGCTGAACTAGTGTATTTAATCAAACAAATGTTCGACTAAGAATTTTGATTTTTAATCAGATCTCCAGGCACATCCAGTTGAAGCCGGATGGAAGGCTGGAACAGACCGTCTCTATGGCACTGGAAGGACAGCCTCTGACGCAGCATTTGCACATCACTTACCGCAGGACTGATTAACTATCTGTCACATGGGAGGAAGATGTATTTCTGAAAAGCACTTGGAAGTAATGTACTCATCTGACCTAAAATATTGATGGTTTATATATAGCAACCTGCAGGTGATGGCAATATATTTGTGACTAAGAATGTAATCTAAAGTAATAGATGTGATCCGACCTGTCTTACCAACAAAAAAAGCTTTGCAAATATTGTTACAATAAATAAAGGGGTATAATGTAAAGCAATCACAGTGAAAGTATAAAAATCAATCCCTTTACAAATTTAAATTGTTTAGAGGGAGCTCATGGGAAAGTCTGTCTCTGAAGAAAATGCTGTTCGTTATCACGTCTATTTCCGTAAGATTAAGTTTACAAATTGAATAATAATCAAAATATGTCACATCACATACATTTTCTCTCCAGTAAAACTTAACACTAAACGTCTTCTTTCATATGTTTAATGGTAATTCATGGAGATGCATTAATTCACTTATAGAGTCAATAAAGCTCTTTACCTTTTGATGAATTGTCATGGCATTTCTACTAATCATGAACAAATGGAGAATAATTTAAAGAATTCAGTTAATAGAGATTGCACTCACAATGATAAGGTCAATAAAAACATCCACTCTGTAATATCGTTCAAATGTTTGGGGTTGTTAATTTTTTTGAAAGAAAGTAATATTATCATTCAGCAGGGATGCATTTATTTAATCAAAAGTGACAGTAAAGACATGTATAACGTTACAAAATATGATCAAATTAATTCAAATAAATGCTGTTCCGTTTAACTTTATTTTCATGAAAAAATCCTGAAAAAAAAAACTATCACAGTTTCCACAAAAATATTAAGGTGCACAATTGTTTTCATCATTGATAATAACAATAATAAATGTTTCTTTAGCACAAAATCAGCATTTCAGAATGATTTCTGAAGGATCATGTGACACTGAAGACTGGAGTAATGATGCTGAAAATTCAGCTTTGCCATCACAGGAATAAATTACATTTAAAATTTTAATAAAATAGAAAAGTTATTTTATATTTAAATAATAATATAACTGTTTTACTGTATTTTTGATCAAATAAATGCAGCCTTTGTGAGCATGAGAATTCTTTCAAAAACAAATCAACCAATCCGATTTCACCAATCAAGTGAAATTAAAATTGTATTTTGTGACTTTATTAGTTTTTGGGCACACAATTATTTTCCAGGTTTTCCATGCTGGAACCAACTCTGTGTAAAAACTTTGAGTTTCTCTCTCAGTGCCTTTATTTAAATATGTATACAGATGGTGACAACAGTGTTACACACACCACCACACAAACTGTATAAACCGAAAGTGCAAAGTGTCACTCCAAACAACATCTTAAGCAGTTTTGTCAAAATAAAAAAAAATCTGAACATTGTCAAACATTTAAAATGTTTCACTCATGCCAAAGTTATAGAGTATAAAATCTCAGTAGAATGAATTCATCATGCAATGCATCTTCAGCACGAAAGGAGCTCCTTTACCTGCAGAGCTTATTTCAGGGTCATTTTAAACAAAGGAAGACAGACATTATGTACCTCCACCAATGAATATAGCAGTAACATCCCCTCTACACAATATCAGCTCATAGTATTTCTTTCACTCTATGTTTAGTATTTTAAGGAAAAGAAATAATAAAAAGTAAAAGATGATTAAGGTGCAGTTAAACCTGGGTGACGTGCTATAACCTTTGTGAGGGGCCGTTTGCTCCCCAGGGCTTCACAAACAGTACAATGGTCCATTCAAATAGTTCTGGGATGGAAAGATTCAGTTCTCAGTCAACAGGATGACTTCCTGCAGAAGGCTACTTCGTCAGGTAGATGTACATGGTCTTTATGAATTCCCTCCATGTTAACACAGCTGTTGATAACCAATGGGCATGAGCTCTAGAGTCTATGTTCACCACACATTTTGAAATGTCCCCCTGGAATGAAAGATGAAAAGAAAGCATTATCATTTGATACGCCATTACATACACTATACCATTCAAAAGTTTAGGGTCAGTAAGATTGTTTTAATGTTTTTTAAATAATTCCCTAATGTTCATCAAGGCTGCCTTTATTTGATCAAAAATACAGTAAAACAGTAACATTATTAAAATATCTTTTCTATTTTATTACATTTTAAAAATGTAATTTATTCCTGTGATGGTAAAGCTGAATTTTCAGCATCATTACTCCAGTCTTCATGATCCTTCAGAAATCATTCTAATATGCTGATTTGCTGCTCAAGAAACATTTCTCATTATTATCAATGTTGAACACAGGTGTGCCGTTTACTATTTTTGTGGAAACCATGATACATTTATTTCAGGAATCTTTGATGAATAGAACAGCATTTATTTAAAACAGAAATCTTTTGTGACATTATTCTTGCTGAATAACTGAATACATTTTTTTAATTAGGGTTACTTACCCCAAACTTTTGAACAGTAGTGTGTAGTATGCTATGCTCTGAAATGCGAGTATGAAATTGCAGTAGCACAAATAACATAATTAGATGCGCTTTTAACAGAATGGCCACAGGTGGGTAGCAATACTTCATTTCCTCATATGGCCTCTAGAGGTCAGGATCAATCTTAGTTTATGCAGAAGGCAGTACAGAGAATGAACACTTACCCATCCTCCCCTCTTTTTGAGCCATGGGACCAGGCTCCTACGTGCAAATTCTCCCAGACTGTCCACAATGGTGTGCACCATGACTGGATGGCCCTGTCGCACACAGTCCACCGCCAGCCCAGCAGCTACAGCGTAGATGGCCACAACTTTGCCCCATGTGATCCCTTGAAAGTAAAAGCAATTCTGTGAGCAGAACTAGAGGGCTACTGAGCTATGAGCATCTCAAACTCTCTCTTGCTTTCGCATTAATCATACTAGCGTTTTAGAAATGAAATTCCTAAATAATATTTTAAAAAGTTTATAATGAGAAATTCAGTAAAGAATCAGCAAATCCTAGCTTTGCTCATATCTAATGCAAATTAAATGTCAATGTATCGCATAAGAAATCAAACCTTTTTTTCTCCACAAAATATTCATATTTCTTTATGCTCTTTCAATCAAAAGTGTCTTCAGAGGACATTTAAATTGGACATTGGCAACCTCCAATTACTGTCTACAACTTACAACAAAGACTTTCCACCAGGAAAAACATTTGAACTATAAAACAGTGCCAGATCTAAGACAGCATCTAACAGTTTAGATTAGTTTCCTTGAAAATCTATTCAACAACATAGAGGCACAGCTCCGCTGTGCTGATGATGTAACAGGAAGGCTAAAACCATTAAGTCTCAGCATTAACTCACTGTCGTGCTTCACTAATGATGAGCCAAGAGTCAGGGACTATGCCAGTTGTTTACATTACATCTTCAGCATTCATTTAAGATAATTCCTCACAGATCTATCCCTTACTATAGAAGATAGGTTGTGGGAAGGTTGTCAGGCAGAGTAGAATGATGTTGCCATGGTTTTGGGCTCAATCACTAACCACCATGTACATCGAGAAGAAGCAGAACCAAGATAAAATATGTGACCAAATATGTACAAAGAGAAGAATGTGGGTATGTCCTTTTTAGGGTTTTTTCCATGTTCCGAAAAAAGACCACTGAAGAACTTGTCATTAAACCACAAGAGATGGTAATGATCAAAGTGGCCCTCTCAAACACACTACTGAAATCCAATAATAGGTTAAAGTCAATCGCTGTTCCAGTAAAGACAATTTTACTGTAACTTAATAAAAACAAACATATTGAAATTAATGTCCTGAACTCTTTTTTTAAAGCTCAAATTCTGCTCAGGCTAACATCGCTTAATTTACATTTGGAACGAATCCCACAATCTCCAAATTCCCTCCATTTATAGTAAAGATGCCCTCATGTGCAGTGCTGCAGTTTATTTTTTTGTTCCCAAAACAGCCTCAATTGTCAATTATGTACAGAATATAATAATAGTAATGTATTAATAATAATAACAAAAATATAATAATAAAATAAATAAAAATAATAAAATACTTTAAAGTCAAAGTTTTTATGGAACATTGCAATATTCATTATAAATGATTTAGCCTACTCATGGCATCATAATATGATGCCCTCGTAAACTTTAATCAAAATAACTTCACCTTCAACTTGAAACATCTCTTCTGACATGTTTCTTGGCACAATTCTGGATGGACAATATTTCATGCCGACTTTAAAAGCACGAAATATTTGAAAAAACAAAACAAAAATACTTTAATGCAGTGCCTGCGAGGTCATGCCCACAAACACTGCCTATGAAACACCTGTTATATTGTCTTCAAGCTCACTTACCCATGGCTAGGATCTCTGTTGCTACAGAGAGAAATGCATCTGAAACCACAGCCTCGACTGCTACACAGATGTTCAGCTGCTTTGCGATATTACGATACACATATGGCCGCATACACTCCAGTTCATCACCTGTAAAACAAAGCAAAACCTGTAAAATGTCTTAAATATACACAATGAGAGGGACATGTGTTGTCATAATTTATTGATCATATCATTTTTTTACAGTGCAGCCTTGATACAGTCTTGTTATAAATCACAGTATAAAATTAAAACATTAAAGACAAATTAATCCCATACCCCAAATAAAATAAACTATAAAGAAAACTACAGAAAGAAAGAAAGAAAGAAAGAAAGAAAGAAAGAAAGAAAGAAAGAAAGAAAGAAAGAAAGAAAGAAAGAAAGAAAGAAAGAAAGAAAGAAAGAAAGAAAGAAAGAAAGAAAGAAAGAAAGAAAGAAAGAAATTTCACAGATTGCTATGTCAGAGATGATAAATAACGTTACTGAAATATCACACCTGTTACGAACATCAATTCACACTCACTCCTGGTTCTCTTACCCAGTTTTAGAAGCACCACAGATACATCTATAAGAGCACCGTGTGGCTCCGGCAGATCTGGCTCAACTTTTGACCAGCTGAATCCTTCCCTTATGATTCTGGAGTGAATGAAGGCTCTACAAAGTTCCATAGACTGAAAGACGAGCTCTTTTTCCGTGTGAGTCCGATCAAACACCTTCATCTCCGCGGCGAACACGGTCACGGTGGATCGCTCGAACACGCTCATGTCCCGCATGTTTGTTTGGCACGAGCTGTGTTCACTGGACAGGTAGCCTACATAAACACTCCACAGACTCCACGAACAATACGGAGCGCATTCCTACGACGAAAGTTTAGTCAAATGAAATATGAAACAGGTTCGCCGAAACGTCAAGAGCCAATCAGGAAAAACAAATTACAACCCAAACTAAATTCCCTTGGTAACAAATTGATCAATCGACCAACTTTCGCTCCGCTTACCGATTTTATCATTTCTCATCTCCAATGTCTCTTCCATGTTTCGCACGACAACCTAATGTTGAAATAGACTTTTAGTTATATAATATTTCCATCGTTCTGTCCGAGGTTGCTGTTCGCTTGTTCCCACTTGGAAGCGATTTTGCTCTCTACCTGGAACGCTTAGGTAACCACTAATCAACCAAGTGAACGGCTTAGTCCGAATATAAATGGCATCCTGGCACGGCTCACAATGCTTTTAGTCCATGGAACTATATAAATTAATATCAACTCCTTCAAATGCTAGGTCACTTATCAAATCATACAACAATATGCAACATTAATATTAATTTGTTAAAAATCACACTCGTATTAAAAGAGGAGACTTTTATCAAACAGACCCAGGCGTGAAGGCTTCTCATATTATTTCATATAATGATTCTTCCCTAAGGATCAGTGGGAAGTTCATTCATGCTTTTCTCTAGTGGTGACCATGTAGGCTAAGTTATTATCTGTCTATGTTTAGCGAGCTAATCCTCTCACTACAAACCAACACAACAGTTTAAAGTCCTGATCGTGAATAGACCTCAGTGTGTGTGTGTGTGTGTGCACATCTTTATCTGATAGTCATATTTCACATAATGGTGACAGTGGTATTCCCAGAAGACAGTTGAAAATGTATGACAGTTCAATTGCAAGTCAAGTTTACAGAGATGTCACTCTCATTCCTTGCATCCATAATGTTTTAAATTGGCTCATTCACTGCATGCCATACTATAACTAAAATAATGTAATCTGATACATTACAAATAAAGTACTTGTGTGGATTCAGTTTATGTTCGAACAGCAACATTACACGCTAATTAGTTAAAAAAAAGTGAAATCATAATCAACCACCCCTTTAAGCCAGGGCTATCTATTTAGTGTATTTAAGTGGTAGGGATGGTTAAAGTCACCATGAAATCAAAATTGACAATACTTATTTTCAGAGGTGGACAAAGTACACAACTTCCTTACTTAAGTGAAAGTACAGATACTACTGGTCAAATATTACTCTGTTACAAGTAAAAGTTGTAAAGACCTATTTTTACTTAAGTAAAAGTACAGAATACTCATTTTTAAAAGTACTTGAGTATCAAAAGTAAATGTCAATACTTGTTTTATTATTGTTGCATGTTGTATGTAATATTTACAGTACCTTATGCCTCTGAAGCAACCTAGTGAATACACCTATACCAGTTAGTATCTGTGGAATTAAGAGCTTTTAGAATGTTATAAAACCTATAGAAATTAAACAACTGAATTGACAAAAAAAAGACAGCCACAATCATCCTAATTTTTATTTTTTATTTAACACTCCTACCACCCCAACAAAAGAAGTACACATCTATGTGTATCCATTCATGCACATTTGAATCAAGTGATCTATAAAAATCTAACCTGGTTTAAAACCCAGCTACACAACCATAGCTGCATAACTGCAATAACAGCAATACTGCTTTAACAAACAGCAAAACAGAAATACCTATTTGCCATGGATGCGCCAAGGATCTGTCTTTGTCCATTTTGCCACCAGTTGATTTGTGTTCAAAGAAAATGATGGAAAATCGCTGAACTTCACGACAAGTGACCCTACAAGAGTGATTACTGATAGGCTGTCTGTCACCTGGCTGATTCAATCACGTTTTAGAGATGAAAAAAAATCATCCTCTGACTGACGGTACTACTTTCTACTCAAGGACCTTGACAGAAATGTAGTGGAGTAAAAAGTATGATATTTGTCTTTCAAATAGTGAAGTTAAAGTAAAAAGTTTCTAGAAAAAATAATACTCAAGTAAAGTACATACTCAAAAAGTGTACTTAAAGGGGTGGTATAATGCCCTTTTCACAAGATATACAGTATTCAAGTAAATGCCTACTTTGTTACTGTCTTTCTCTGCTTATTTTTTTATGGAATATTGCAGTATTCTAAATGATTAATCCCTGCATATCATCATTGTTTTCAAATTCATGTTTATTGGCTCGAGGGCGGTACAAAGTGTCACTCATATGAGATCACAGCAATAGCAAACCACAACCATCCAACAATCCAATCAATTCCCGATGGACAAAATCAAGTCCCGCGCTACATTTTTTTCAAGTTTACAGAGATGTCACTTTCATTCATTGCGTCCATCATGTTTTATTCATAGTTGGCTCATTCACTGCATGCCATACTACAACTAAAATAATGTAATCTGACTGATAAAAAAAAGTACTTGTGTGGATTCAGTGTGTAGCAAAACTGCTTGTTTTGACCGACATTTGATATTAAATTAATGCAAACTATAATTCATAGACTATTTGGTTTATCCTGCTCATGCACCAAGTACTGTAAATAGCATTTGAGGGTGTGCAAAAACCACAGCAAAAACGGACCGTTTTTGTGTGTTCCTTTAAATGCAAATTAGCTGCTTCTACTGGCACAGAGGGCGGAGCTTCAAGAGCTCTTGCATTAGCAGCTCCGATTACCTCATCCAGACACGCACTAAAAATTTCAAAAACTTTTAGCCTTTTATGTTCAAACCGGAGTCGGACAAAGATGTAGAGACTCAAGAAGAAGTGACAAAATGTAGAATGCAACGGGACATTTCTGAATGGTTAGTTGATGAATTTATGTAGCTGATGTGATTAGCATATTCTGTCATGATAGTCTATAAATCGTGTTCCCGGGGGTGGGGTTTATGTAAATTTTAGGGTTAGTGATGTCACTAACCAGTAAAGAAGCTCATTGTAGTCCCTACCAACCGTTTGTTGTAGTCCTTAAAAAAGGATTTCTGTAAAATAAAATCTCCCTTTGCTTTGAACTTTGATCGTCGTAAATTTGCAGATGTTGTTTATGTTCCCGATGGACAAAATCAAGTCCCGCCCTACATTTTTTCTTGTTTGAAAAGCCGTTTCCCTCAGATTTATATCACAACAGGGAAGAAAAGACTATCACAACTTCCTTTTCATGCTGACTTTAAAGTCACCATGACATCCAAATGGACAATTCTTGTTTTTTTAATGGAATATTGCATTTATTTATAATTTGTAATTCCTCACCATTAGCATTAACAAGTGCATGTCCATCAACAAACCGATTATTTTACTAGTACTTATTTATTTACTGAGTATTTTTCTAATTTATTGCGGTGAACGTGTGGAAACTGTATCAATAACAGTGCATACATTAGCCGAGCTCTTCCGTGAATGACTGATGTAACATAAACGTTGGTAAAACAAATCTCGCTCCATGCTTAATCTTTCCTCAAATTAGTGAGAACGACAGACAATCTGCATTAATAGACACAGTTTTAGCCTAGGTAATAGTGGCCTACAACTGATTAACATAAGTTTAGGATTATACTGTGGTATTGAGGTAAAGATAAATTTTAACCACTGATTCTTCACATGCTCGTCCTTGGGCAGTGAAAAAAAAACTGTATTTAGCGTCACATTGTACAGCACAGTGTCTTCTCGACATGATGCTGTCCAGTATCCACAGGAATCAGCTACAGTGTTTGAGGTTCAAGTTTTACCTGGTGTCTGCGCACTCAATAAGTGGGCGGGCAATATACTAATGTTTCGTCTTGACGTTACAACGAAACGGCTTATGACTCGTTTGAAAAACCATTCATTTCATTGACTCATAGTCGACGTTTACTTTTGAAAGACAATAATTTTATATATGGTGCACTTTCAGATTTGAAACTTTGCAGGATGTTACACACTACATGAAAGGTCATTTTCAAAAATCCTTAAAAGGGGCACTGCTGAAGGTATAACTACAACTCCCACAATTCCCCGTTCCTTGAATCAGAAGCTGCGCATGCGCTGTGGCTCCTATTATTTTGTTCTCCCGCAAGCAATAAATGAAGAGTCGCCGGAACGTGCGTTGATCAATACAAAACAATTACAAGCGGAAAGCGTTTTTCTCGCACGCAGATACTTTTATACATGGAGTCACACGACACCTAACTGTCATTCTCGCCAGCCTGCGGGATCCGCCATCAGGGGATTGGAGGCCGAAAACACGGCAGACGAACAGGACATGCAGAGGTGTTTTTCTATGTAAAAGCTAGCTAGCTAAGCAGGGGATCGGAGGAGGAACAGCAAAGCCTTGGAAGAGTTTTACAGCACCCCTCCTTTGGCAGAAAGGGCTAACATCTGCTCTCATCCACACCGACCTGCTGTTAGGATGGCGCACCTCCGCGACATGCAGAACCAGGTAAATCCTTTGCCCAGCCAAGTCTGTTCATCATCAGGACTGTATTAATCTCATAATCAGTAAAACCACAGTGATGTTTAGTGAGCCTGTCATGTCATGATCTCGATTTAGAGTAATTGACTAAATTGAGGGCTGTCTTGACGTTATACTATTGTGTCTGGGTAACTATTTTAATGAAGATCCTGTGGAAGAAACGTCTGTTTGTTTGTTTTTTTGTTTGTTACATTTCATGTAATATCGGTTTCATTTAATGTAAATTGTAAATATTATAATGTAAATGGTTCAAATGTTGCTCATAGTAGATTATCCTAAAGGATGTAATGTAGTCTACAAGGGTCCATACTAGTAAATGCTCACTGATTTTCTTCTACACCTTTCATTGAATCTCATAGCACAACTCTACTGTCTCTCTCACACAGAATTCCCGGCTTGACCCGGAGGAGTATTTCACAAAGCAAGAGCGCATTGGGAAGGGGTCTTTTGGTGAGGTCTACAAGGGCATCAACAATCGCACTAAAGAGGTGGTGGCCATCAAGATCATCGACCTGGAGGAGGCGGAAGATGAGATCGAGGACATTCAGCAGGAGATCACGGTGCTCAGCCAGTGTGACAGCCCCTATGTCACCAAATACTATGGCTCATATCTGAAGGTACACTCTCCCATTGTTTGGGATCTCAGGCGTGTACAGACAAACAATAGTAAGAGTTTTTTTTGTATGTCATTACAGCATCTTTTAATATCAACATGAAATCACTTTCTTAATGCATGTTGACATGATTTATCAATGCATTATTCCAAAGAAAAAACCTTTTACAAAATGTAA